CCCTCGCTGTGTGCAGCCCTCCCTCGCTACACGCAGCCCTCCCTCGCTGTGTGCAGCCCTCCCTCGCTACACGCAGCCCTCCCTCGCTGAGCGCAGCCCCCCCTCGCTGTGTGCAGCCCCCCCTCGCTGAGTGCAGCCCCCCTCGCTGTGTGCAGCCCCCCCTCGCTGAGCGCAGCCCCCCCTCGCTGTGTGCAGCCCCCCCTCACTGAGTGCAGCCCCCCTCGAAGCGCGCAGCCCCCCTCGCTGAGTGCAGCCTGCTGGGGCCCATTCCCAGACATGCAGAATGGTCTAAGATGGGCTGAGCCCTGGGTCAGTGCTCAGCCAGACCTTCAAATCTAAGCCTCTGTGGTGGTCACTCTCCTGTAACTGTGAAATAGTCTACTTTAATGTGAATTTCAGTTAAACTTTCTTTAAGGCCGATCCTCAGAACCTAATAAAACCATAATGCTCTGCTACGAAAATAGTGACCATCAACAGGTAGGGTGTATTATTCCCTCTGTAACTTATGAAAAACAGAACAGATACTTCAAAAAAGATCAACGTACTTGCTTAAAAATTTGCACAACATTTCTGCTACATTTTCACAGTTCTTCTTACTGGGACAAAAAACTAGGCACGAGTAGGTGGGGATAACTTCTGTCACCAAGGCTACCAAGTGATCGGGATCCATCCTTTTCAGGGCATCAGAATACTGCAAAACAAGGAGCCGGGCAGATTGCAACTGTAAAAGCTCATCAATTTTCCTGTGCAACTTTTAAACCTCTCCATATCTCATCATTAAAACAAAAGATGAGAGCGCTATAAAACATCAGCTGTTCAATTTTCCTCTTAGGTAATTCGTTAGAGATTTGGTTTGGGGGCACATTTAGTCTAAAAGGAGGATTAAACAACTAAGGATTAAGGAAGTGAAAGCAGTTCATGTTATTAATAACTCTGTTATATGCCCACCTCCACCAGAGCCGAACAAAAGCCCAGAGAGAGACGAGGACCAATGCCTCCAACAGTCTAAGAAGCGCATAAGTGACCACCTTTACTATTACTAATCAGATTCCTTAACACTTCCAGAAGTGAAAAAAAATAGCAATGAATTAGGACAATTTGTAACATTATGCAGGGACACAAAGGACATGAAATAAAAGCACAGTCATTTAAAATCTCCTTAGTTCCTTTTACTTTACTGAAAACTAAGATAAGGATTTAGACTACACCTCACAAAATTCTCAAGCTGTGATAAAATGCGTCCCTTTTAAATGCCCTTCAAGCCAGTCGTGAGCCGTCAGCGTGCAAACACGACCACCTCTACACACCAACGTGTCACTCACAGACTGCAAACTATTCTGTTGTTGCTGGGTGAGTGACTGATCGACCAGATGTGTCTCCAAATTTTCATGGTTCAGGAGCCAAGAAACATCTTACCGGCTCATTAGTCAGGTGCAAACAACCTAATAAGTACTTCCTCAAAATTCAGCAGTTATTGAATAAAAAGTATTCTAACTCTTAACTACCACAAGAGCTCACTAACAGGATGTATGCACAATGTGGTATTGTCTTTCAAGCTGGTGAGGGACTGCACACAGTCCTGTCCTACTGGTTTTCTTTTTTTTTTTTTTTTTTTTTTTTGGTTTTT